GGTCATAACCGATAAATTTTATTTATCCGCCAAAATCAAGAAATTGTGTTTTCCCGTCAAAACCATCAAATTGCATTTTCACATCAAAACAAAGAAATTGCATTTTTCCTTTAATACTAAGAAATTGTGTTTTTGTGCCTAAACCGAAAAAATCGCATTTTCCTTCAAAAAAACATAGATGTAGTATTCTTTGTCAAAATTTAGAAATCACATTTGTAGCCAAAACCGAGAAATTTTAATTTCTTGTCAAAACCAAAATTTTTTGTTTTTCTATCATAAAAGAGAAATCGTGTTTTCCGTCAATACCGTTAAATTGTATTTCTCACCAAAAAAAAATAGCACTTTCTCGTCAAAATCAAAAAATTTCATTTTTCCGTCAAAATCAAAAAGTTACGTTTTTCCGCCAAAACTAAGAAATAGCAATTTCTGCCAAAATCAAGAAATTTTATTTTCTTGTCAAAACCAAAATTTTTGTTTTTCCTATCATGACTAAGAAATTGTGTTTTCTCGCAACAATCAAGAAATTGTGTTGTCCCGCAAAATTTGTGAATTTGCATATTCGTGACAAAATCATGAAATTGTATTTTCTGGACATAAATGAGAAATCATGTTTTCCTGCCAAAAATAATTTTTTTTTTAATTTTTTTGTCATAACCGAGAAATTTTGTTTTCTCATCAAAACAAAAAAAAATGTTATTCCATCAAAATCGAAAAATCATGTTTTCCTACCAAAACCAAAAAATCATTTTTTCGTCAAAACCGAGAAAAAATAATTAATTTGTAGATTTAGATTTTTTCCGTTTATAGTATTTTTTCAAGAATAATCCAATTTTATTTTATATTTTATAAAGATCTTTAATAAATTTAAAATTTTGTAAATATAAATCCACATATACGTGGATCCTAATCTATAAATAAAAAATCATTGACTAATAATTACAAGTAAATATAAATTATTGGAGAGATATATGATAATTTCCGTTAACCCAAAAAACTAAATAAAAGCCTTAAAATAAATCTCTGAATAATTTCCATTTAATCTCTGATTTTTTATAAATTGCTAGGCATAGACCATATGCTCGATTAACGCCTAACGTATTTCTGAATTTTCTATCCTCTGAACGCGATTATCTCGTTCTGAGTCCTAAAACAATATCAAATTTGCCTTCATAACAATTACGAATTTTAAAAAATGAACTTAATAAAAATAATATTGGGGTTATGAACCACTAAATGATAGCCTAATAACTTATAAAACACCGTATTTATAGCCCAGTTAATTATGGGTCCTAAGAGTAAAGCCCAACCGACGAAGAATGGGCTAAGCGAAACTTTGACAGCCGTCTCTATATATACCACATATTTCTCCTGAGAGCCAATATCTGATTTCATTCTACCCGTTGAAATTTTCTTTTCTCTCTCTCCGAAGGGATTGCATTTTTTCTACATCAGAATATACAATGATCCTTCGTGGGATCCAATCATCTCTTGGAGCGAAAGCAACAACATTTTCATTGTTTGGGATCTCAAAAGGCTCTGCAAAGAGATTCTCCCGAAATACGTTGGATTGGGCAGAAACTATCCTCACTTTGTCTCAGAGCTTCAGTATCGCGGATTTGAAAGAGTCAACGGGTCTGGGCAATTGGAGTTTGGACATAAAAATTTCGTGAGAGGTCATCCTTATCGATTGAAGAAGATGGTTTTGCAAATTTGGATGCAGAGGATGGACAAAATTGGAGCAAACCTTCAATCAAAAATTGCCCAAACCAAAGCCATGATTGCTCGAGCCGAGGCAAAGAATGATAGGATTCAGGTAGAGAAAATCCTGCAAGGTTTACGAATTTGATCCAACATCATCAAACGACATATGTTTTTTTTTGTAACTCTTGTTTTAGGTTTGATCTATTTGACATTCTGTCTATATATATAGTATATGGTTTGTTTCCACTGTCTATGATGTAGTTCTTACTTTTGACCTATAAATAATAAAGGCTCACATTTTACTTGTTCCTGTCTCTTATCACATCTTTTGTTTAAAAGAGATTACACTGTACAATTGCCTCTTGAACAAACCCAAGGTGTCGAATTCTGAAAAATTATAACCGTAACCCATAGCATAAAGTGTTCTCAGACCATTTCTTTGGAGTTTGTTCATATGTATCCATGAGTTTGGCTTTTGAGTCAACGACACAAACGATATAAATGTTATCTTGCATTTGATTGTTTTCTACTTAATTGATTGTTTCCGTTTCTCTCAGATAACAGAACAGATCAACAGCAAGAGAAGAAAACTTGATTATTACTATTTTGCAACTGAACAAAGAAGAACAAAGAGATGCTGAGGCGGCATTTACATGGCCTCGAGCAACTTTTAGATGTACAAGTTAATGATGTGAAGTGGAAGAAAACGAGGAGGAAATAAACGATATGAATCCTTCAGATGCATTCTCTCCAGAGCCTATTGCTCATAGGAAGTAAGACAGTCTTTGTATCCCTTAATCATTACCGGGCACCTATTCAAAACTAGTAACTTCACTTTGCTTTTGCAGTGAAGATTTTCATGAGTTTTGGGTTTTGGTAATGCATATATGAAGGGTTGCATCACAGGTCAAGTTACTTGGAACATGTTATATTCTTATGTACAGTCAGAGGTGACGAGAAGCTGTTGATTTGGAACTTATCATATTTGATCATACTACTCAAGGCAAGATGATAATGATGATGACAATGTGTTTTGTTATGTTGCTGCAAAAGGGTCAATACAAAGATGAGTTTGTGACAGCAGGAGGAGTTCCTTTATCCGAGGTTTGCATTCTTTAGAAACCTAAATCAATCCTTTTTTAGATGCTTTCTTACTAAATCTGATGTTACAATGTCTCTTGCTGTTTCAAGATTTCTTTGAAGACAATGGAGAGCTAATTGGTTCCGAATCATTTCTTTGCAGGAAAGGTAAACATGGCTACAATGTTTAAAGCAGTATTATCACATACATATAACAATACATGTACATACATACACATGGCATGACCATCGTAGCATCATATCTTTGCTTACATTTGTGTCTTCAGGTACTAAATGTAGATGGAGTTACAGGAGGCTTCAATTTCCTGGTGATTACAGATTTCAACTTGTTTTTATCAATATAAGATGCAATCAAAATGTTAAAAAGTGGATATTAATTCGGGCAAGTATTGCTTTATGCAGAATGCTTGGTCAGGTGGATTTATCGCAGGCACACACATCGACAAATTAGCAAGTAACAGAAATTCTACAGAAAGAAAAGTAGTAGGATTATTATAGTTTCCTTATAAGACTATAGATAATATTGTAATATTTCATTATCTATGTAGGAACACAATTTTGTTTTCTCAAACTAATTTGTCTCGTGAACAAATCCACCTTTTTTTTTGTTTCATTTACCTATACCATTGTTGTGTTCATGGTTTCGCGTTGTTTAATAAAGTATCTCTTGCCTTGGGACTTACATACATATGATCATCATACTATATCTCTCGTTCAGGTAAAAAAAAGTCCATTTCTAACAATTTCAGGGCAAAAAGTGTGATAAAACTTATCATCAATTTGATGAACTTGATGAATTATATGGCAGCTTCTGAAGAGAGATTGAACTTCCTTTTATTTTGGTTTACAAAGTTTTGATTTATCCAATGGTTTGTCCTCTCTTTTCATCTGGGTTCTGTCAGAAACAGAGCCAAGAACAGAGACCGTGGTGGGATGGAAACTGTAGAATTGGACGTAGTACTCGCTAAGTATGTCCCATAAGTATGTCCTATGTAGAAGTTTCAGGTTCTTGACTTGAAGGTTTTGTGATCAATTAAAGACTTTATTTGTATAAGTGATCGTGAAGAAAAAAACAAGATCACACATTTGTAGAATTTGTTTGTTAGATTATTAAATTCCAACATAGTCTCTGTCCACTAAGCTAAGCAGCCATGAACGATAAAAGTAAGGAAGAAGAAATCTTATAATTTGAACCGACCTATGAGAATTATAAGTTTTTTTTTGGCGCGAAAATTGAAAGAGGAAAACTAGACGCGTTAACAACGCGTTTTTCACAAATATCTGACCGTTAAAAACATATTTCTTCTATCAGTCTATAAATATCTGAACACATCGTAACCCTAGCTTATCTATTTTCCTTCCACAACAAATAATTCCATTGCTCTCTTTCTTACTCTGCCGCACGAAAGATAAAACCACAAAAACAAAAGAATGGCTCCTCGACAAAGAAACTCCGATGATGAACTGAAGAAAGCGAGACTTGATTATTTCAAGAGGCGCTTCCCAAATTTCAAGAAGAAAGCGACGGAACTCGCTGTTCTCTGCGGCAACTCTGTCACATTCATCTGTTACACTCCTGACGACGACAAGGTTCATGTGTGGCCTGAAAATCGACAAGAGATCCAAGAGATAGTCTCGAAGTTTAACAAACAGAGCCATGAGAAGAGGAAGAGAAACGCTAGCGATGTCTATGATTACCCAAATCTGGACGGATTGTCTGATGAGGAACTCAGGAATTACCTCTCGGTCATCAATGCGCAGTTGGCTGGAGTCAGAGAGATAAAACGAGAACTCATGTCGAAGAAGACCGATTCCGAGCAGAGAGGATCCGATCAATTAGGGTTTGTTTCCGATTTGGGATGTGCGGTTGGTGTTGGTGTTTCGCGTACTGAAGCTGATTCTTCTCGGCCGGAATTAGGGTTTCGCGGTCCGTCGGAGCCAACGGCGGTGGCATACAATCCGTCGGGGTTTTGTGGCAGTGATCGTATTTGGGATTCTTCTCGGTTCGATTTGGAGTTTTTCGGTTCCACTACATTTCTTTAGTTTTTTGTTCGCCTGTTCTGTTTCTGTTACTGTTAATTGCAATATTTGTATCCATGGTTGATTGATGAACTCTGATAATTCGTATGATTTCGTATTATCTCAATATATGAAATTAGTTTTCAATTTGCTTTTTAGGTGATTCAATTTTCGCTTTTGGCATTTAATGATGAATAGGCAAATAATATGGCTTCACTGTAATTTTCTACAACAAAGTATCTATGATCCTCTCTCATCTGGAAAAAAAAATGATAACTCATTCTCACTAAAAGTAAATCTCTACATCTTTTTCAGTCATCTCCAAGATACAAATGATCTCTCTAGCATGTGTGAGACATCTTCATTCGCCTTTAGAGCTTGAGCTATGGCGCATGCTCCATCGATCCACTTGCCGTCTGTTTCTGAAACCAAACGTTCAGGTGGTAGTCATTGCCACTGGTGATCACACGTTTTTTTGGAAATTCTGCTCATCTCATGGACTCGAGGAATCACGACGTTAGTTGCTTCAGGAGGTAAAAAGGACAGTTTTTTAAGCTTATATAGAGTTGTAAGAATCTCAACTTTAACTTGTAGCAGCCACATGAATGATGAAACTGTTCTGCCCATTTCACTTTTCAGGAATTGGCCACCATTGGAACTAATCTCTCCTTTATTCTCCTGCAGACGTACCCATCACCTGTCCATATTTCATTTATCATACATAGTTCTCTGACTCTCAACAAATCTTTCTTCGCCCTTGATTCCCATTATGCAGCTCAGTTTCTCACTGCTTGCCATCATTTGGGAATTCGACTTCCCACCATTCATGATCTTGATCATAGCAATCCTCAACGATGGTCTGTCTTTTCACTAGAACCTTGTCAATACAAGTCTGATCCATGTCTACTATAAAACTGATCTTACGCTGAGCGTCCCGGGATACTCCTCATGGCAGCTTTCGCTGTTACTCAGACGGTACGCAAGAGAGAGATGTTTTCTTTTCCTTTTACATCAATGAAGTAGGGAATATGTGGCTGGTGTGATTTGGGTATTCAACTTGATCTTGTACATTCCACTTGATCCACTGAAGTTCTTCATTCGTTACTGTTTGAGGGAGAAGAAATCCAAAAGAGAAAAGCTTCAACTGAAACCTCTTAGGTGGAGATGCATTTTAGTATGTTCTGTAAAAGCTCTTAGATGATAACTATCAGATTTAGAACTCAAGTGACCCAACGAAGAGTAGAGGCACAAACTGAAAAAAAAGCATAATTTGTTTTGTAGCATAAACCATACTAAAGTAGAGTCTAACCATTTCAACAAACGTGTTCAATCAATCGCTGCATCACACAGAAGATCTTATATAACCAAAGCAACAGAGTATAGTACAGATCCCTCCCCACAACGTACCATTCTATTATTGAGTGAAGAAGGTGTTCATTAATGCTCACTGTGCCCTGAGTTTGCTAACTTTTCTTTATATCTTTTCACCAGCACAAAGTTCGGCGTTGCTCTCACGTTGAATTCTATAGCCACATCCTGAAAACATTCATCATGACATGCAGTAAGTTTTAGTTTGCTTCTCAATACAAATCCCATAAATGTGAAAAACAGAAGCATGTAGTTGAGCCCATTTCAACCAATTCTGATCTAATACTTAAAAATTCAATTGATCTGAACATGAACCATACCAAAATATATAACTTCTTCGATATCAAAACAGAAACATTGAACGATGGAGATCAATCAGAGCAATAAGGGACACAAGAAAGTTGGAAACTTTGGTGGCAAAGTATATAAACCATTACAGAATCTTTGTTTCTCATTGTAAGAAACTCTTATCTTGTATCAGAATTCTACCATAAAGCTATCTAACTTCTTCTCAAGAAATAGAATATCAGAGACAAAGAAAGTTGAAACCTTGACAGAAGGCAAATTAGCATTACAATATGTTAATAAGATCAACTAAGAAAGACTCTGATAGAGATACTTACAGGAAGCTCATCAACATCCAATTACAAATTAGGAAGAACAATTATGGAAAGTTAGCAAATTGAGAAGCTTTCACATTCAAGAACGAACGACTCAAGGTACTTACAGAAGCTCACTGAGATCCAATTTGACGAATTCAACATCATTGAGCTTTTCAGAGAAAATGTCACGAATCATCTTACACCATGAAGCCGAGAAGTGAATCACCGCCTTTTCTCCCAAATCCCATTGAAATCAAAATCTCAAATTCAGTAATTTCATTGAAAAACTCATCGATCGATGAATCGAATATTGATAGATTCCAGTTTCGAAGATTGCTTTATCTCGTTCAAATGAAATCTATCGATATTCGATTTATGACTCGACGGGTCTCGGGTTCACACGCAGCAGCTGCAGCCTCACTTCTTCCAAGTTCTAACCACCTTTGATTAAGCAAATCCCATTCTCTCTCCCTCTCTCAACTCTCACAAAGTGTGGCGAAGGCGAATAACGAAGACGACGATCCTTCTCTCGTAAACAATATGCTGTCTTTTCTGTCCGGATTTGCACACCCTGTTGTTTTAACTTACACAGATCGTGCCGTTTCTAAACCGGTCAGATTCCCGATTGGCAAACAAAAACCAAACCAAACCGAATCAAATTAATGTAAATTAAACCACCATGCGATGCTTTTTTGTCATATATAGTCCACACTACTCTAGGAACAAATAATATATACAAGATACGTGCTATTCAAGGCCACGGGGCAAGTTCAGCTTTCTTAGCTTACAAGTTACAACTCAAAAACCTGTTTATCTCCTTTATACATATATTTTGCTCAAGATCTCATCATATTTTTGATGTGAGGTAATTCTTCTAATATCAATCCAATTCCCACATCGAAAAATTAGTAAATAATAGTATAATATATAAATAATATCAAATTCTGATTAATATGAGACTTTTTGGGAGGGGTCGAAGACAAATTCGTGCGGACTTTACCACTTAAGCCCAAAATAAACAATATCATACCTAATTAGAATGTTGGATATGAGATTGAAAAGTCCAATAATCTGCACAGATTTGTCTTTCGGCTTCTCTCAAAAGATCTCATACTAATTAGAGAGTTAAACATGAATTTGAAAAGCCCAACATTCTCGATATATTATGATTAGAAAATTTTGAAATATATAATTGAAAAATGATTATATCAAATCAGAAAATATCCAGATTATTAGAAAAACTCTTTTAAAAAATATGTTCTATGTTTTTTATTTTATATTTTATTTAGATGGTAGCTTTGGAATAAATTTTCAGAATTCATTATAAGTTGTAGATAAATGAAGATTTTTTTAATGTACTTTTCCAATTGACAACAACAAAAAGAAAGATTATTTTCTAAAGATATATACTTTAATTCTTAACTTTTTTTTTGACAGCTAATTCCATAACTTTTTGTGTGTGTGTGTTAAGTTTTAAAGTTTTTTTTGTTAAAATATCATTATCTTAGTATTAACAAAAATTGAAAAAACATCTGAAGGTAATAAATTTTATTTACTAGAAGTTCCTTGTATATATTTACTTAAAATTAATTTTCTAATTAAATATTAATATGCCCTTATTGAAAATAATTCTAGATCCGTACCCCCGAAGGACAACCCATTATTTTGCATCTTGTACGGAAAGGGAGAGACAAAAACAAAAACAAAAAAACTGAACTCCCTTTATCAACCAATTCTTGTTCACTTGTAATTCACAGAGCTTTGATTTTGATCCAAGAATTTGCTCTTTTCTTCCATCTGTTTTATGTTAGAATCATATCCAAGAAGGAGTACGTAGCAAATATGGAAGCTGTAGATTTGGTATTGAAACTTTCAAAACATGATCAAACAAAAAAAATCTCTAGTCTTTCTGCTTTCATAAAACATGTTTCTGTATAATTGATGTTTCAGGGGAGTGTTCCCATGGATGAGGTCTTTAAGACACTTCTTTGCGATACAAAAGGATTATCCAAGGAAGCTGCTGAACAACGCATCGCCATTTTTGGACCTAACAAGCTTGTGGTGAAACAGGTTCATTACACACACTCTCTCTCTCTCTCTGTGTCCTGTTCACTTTCATTAGATTGAAACACTTACTTATGGAGATAAATCATGCAGGACAAAATCAAGTGGTCGAAGTTCTTTGGATTCATGTGGAATCCTTTGTCATGGGCTATGGAACTTGCAGCAATCACGGCCATTGCAGTTGCCAATGGAGGAGTAAGTTGTTTTTTTTTGTCCATTTGTCAATATTCATGATCTTTGATTTGAAAATGTTTCGATTTTCTCTAATCAGGGAAAGCCTCCAGAGTGGCAAGACTTTGTTGGGATCATTCTCCTGCTTCTCATCAATTCAACAATCGGTTTCTTTGAAGAGACCAAAGCTGAAAACGCTACCGCTGCTCTAATGGTGCATTTGGCTCCCAAAACTAAGGTAATATGATCATTTCTGTAAGTTTATTGTTACATGATCTATCTCATTGGTTGTTGATGTTCTTTGATGGGAGCTGTGTTTGTAATGGCTGATATCATCTCAGGTTCTAAGAGACAGCACATGGGTCGTGGAGGATGCATCGATTCTGGTTCCAGGAGATGTCATTAGTATAAAGCTTGGAGATGTAATTCCGGCAGACGCTCGTTTACTCGAAGGTGACGCTCTGAAAATAGATCAGGTGATGCGTTTATGTACCAAAAACTTTACTCCTCACCGAATGAATCTGGTACCGTCTCTGTTTCTGATGCTATCGGTTTTTACCAGTCAGCTTTAACAGGAGAGTCTCTACTAGTAACCAAACGTTATGGTGATTACGTCTACTCTGGTACTACCTGCAAGCAAGGAGAGGTCGAAGCTTTGGTTGTTGCCACTGGTGTTCACACTTCCTTTGGCAATGCTGCTTCCAAAAGCTGCTCGACGAATCAAGAAGTTGGTCGCATTCAGAAGGTAAACAGAGTTGTAAGAACCTCAATTTCAACTTGTAGCAAGCCACGTGAATGATGAAACTGTTCTGCTTTTTCAGGCATTGGCCACCATTGGATATTTCTGTATATGCTTCATTGCTATAGGAGTTTCTGTGGAGATCATCGTCATGTACTACTTTCAGAAGCGTGAATATCGAGCTGGAATAGATAATCTGTTGATTCTGTTGATAGGAGGGATTCCAATAGCAATGCCCACTGTTTTCTCTGTCACAATGTCAATAGGGTCTCACAAGTTATCTAAGCAGGTTGGTTTCAAAGTTTTGATCTCAGCTGCTACTAGTCGAAGAACCAGGTTTTATAAGAATGAATATTCTTCTGTTTTTCAGGGAGCCATCATTAGAAGAATGTCTACAATTGAAGAAATGGCTGGCATGGATGTTCTCTGTATCGATAAAACAGGGACCTTGACATCGACTAAACTTTCAATTGACATAAACCTCATTGAAGTATATATACATCAACTTCTCTTTTCCCACAACATTTTTTTGCTTAAAGCAGAGTTTTTAAATTGGCTCCTTACTTGTTCCCCCTCAGGTTTTCGTAGAGAATGTGCAGCCAGATGTTGTTGTCCTACTTGCTGCTCGAGCGTCCCAAGTTGAAAACCAAGATGCAATTGATGCAGCCATAATTGGGATGTTAGAAGATCCTGAAGAAGTAAAATCCAAAGATCATAAGTTCTCCTCTCTTTTGTCTTCATCATGACAAGTTTTGATTTGTTCGGTTGTTTTTCAGGCACGAGCTGGGATTGAAGTAGTTGATTTCCTTAATCCAACGGATAAGCGAACAGAAATAACGTATATCCAGGGCAATGAGGGTAAGATGTATAGAGTCAGCAAAGGTGCTCCAGAGCAGGTAAAGTAGAAATCATTTATCCATGAAAGTTTTAGAGCAAAGAAGAAAGCTTACAAGAATCTTGTGATTTTACTTTCTCAGATTCTGAATCTTGTGGACAATAAACCCGAGATCGAAGACAGAGTCCATCTCGCGATTGATAACTTTGCAGAACGTGGCTTCAGGTCACTTGCAGTAGCATACCAGGTAACAAAGTATAGCTTCAAGAACATTAATCTCCATTTTCTTAATTTTCTAACTGAGAAAGAAAACAGGAAGTGCCCGAGGGAACGGAAGAGAGTCCCGGAGATCCTTGGCGATTCGTTGCCCTCATGCCTTTGTTTGACCTTCCTAGACATGACAGTGCTGATACAATAAAAAGTGCACTGGACTTGGGTGTAAACGTGAAGATGATCACAGGTATTGTACTTTGATTGAGCATTGCTATTCCTCTTGAGTCTGATGTAAACCATATAATGTGTGTGTGTAGGTGATCAACTGGCTATAGCAAAGGGAACAGGACGCCATCTTGGGATGGGCACAAACATGTACCCTGCATCAGAGTTGTTAGATGATTCAATCTCTGCTTTGTCCGTTGAAGAGTTTATCGAGAATGCTGATGGTTTTGCTGGTGCTTTCCCAGGTACCTTTACGTTTTGAGATCTCATCTGCTGTAACATTTGTTTTCTCAGTCTGACCATTCTGGGGATTTCGCAGAGCATAAATACCAGATTGTGAAACGGTTGCAAGATCGGAGACACATATGTGGGATGATTGGTGATGGAGTAGACGATGCTCCAGCTCTCAAGAAAGCAGATATAGGCATAGCTGTTGCTGAGTCGACTGAGGCAGCACGTGGAGCTTCTGATATTGTTCTTACAGAACCTGGTCTCAGTGTTATCATTAGCGCTATCCGCACGAGTAGATCTATTTTCCAGAGGATGAAGAACTACACAGTAAGTCCCTACTTCACCATCATCATCATCCAAACAAATCCATAATTCTGAAACTCAGATTCATGAATCTCTCCATTATTTTCTTGCAGATATACGCTGTCTCCATCACCGTTCGGATAGTGATACTTACCTGTTCATCTTTCGTTTGTAATGAAGTCATCATTCATAGTTCTGACTCTCAACAAAATCTTTCTTCTCCATTAATTCTCCTGCAACAGCTTGCTTTCTCGCTTCTTGCACTCATCTGGCACTTCGACTTCCCACCATTCATGATCTTGATCATAGCGATCCTCAATGATGGTCTGTCTTATCACTAGAACCTTGTCAATACAAGTCTGATCCATGTCTACCATAGATTCTGATTCTGGTCCGCGAATGGCAATTGCAGGTACCGTCATGACAATCTCAAAGGACCGAGTGAAACTATCTCCTCATCCAGATCACTGGAAACTGGCAGAGATCTTCACAACCGGGATTATTCTCGGTGGATACTTGGCTATGGTTACCGTCCTTTTCTTCTGGACAGCCTACGACACCAGCTTCTTCCCTGTAAGTATATTCCAAGTTTAGAACAAAGAATAATAACACAATGATTGCTTCTTTATAGTAATGTTGATAGCTTCACGTTTCAGAGAATATTCAAAGTGCCAAGTCTTTACAAAAACGATGTAAAAGATTTCAGGATGCTTGCCTCTGCAGTGTACCTGCAAGTCAGCACGATCAGCCAAGCACTGATCTTCGTAACAAGATCTCGTGGTTGGTCTTGCGCTGAGCGTCCCGGGGTACTCCTCATGGCAGCTTTCGTTGTTACTCAGACGGTACGCAAGAGAGAAATGAAAAAGCAATACTTTTTCTTTTCCTTTTACATTAATGAAGTAATCTTTCTCTGTTCATGATGTTTCTGTATAAACAGATTGCAACGTTGATCGCTGTATATGCGAACTGGGGTTTTGCTTACATTGAAGGAATCGGATGGCGCTGGGCTGGTTTGATTTGGGCGTTCAACTTCATCTTCTACATTCCACTTGATCCCTTGAAGTTCCTCGTTCGTTATACTTTGAGTGGAGGGACAAAGAATATCGACAGAGAAGATAGTGAACTTAGATGGTCACATGCCCTAAGGATCATTCATGGCCTTGACCCACCTGAAACCGTTTCACAGAGCATACCAAAACTAACTATACAAAATTCATATAAACGGTTGTAGATTCAAACTTAAAACCCAAATGTGAATCGAGGGTAACAATATTTCGCAGTTGTCACATTTATGTCTGAGTAAAACTGTATTAACTATAAAATTTAGAACTCAGGTGACCCAATCAAGAGAAGAGGCAAAACCTCGTGCAAAAAGTGAAAAAAAAAACTTTGTATCATCATAAGCCATACTAAAGCAGAGTCTAAACATTTCAACAAACCATTTTATTAATCAATCAATGTATTACACAGAATGTCTTACAACTCTTGAAGACATAAGAGGAATCAACAGAATCAACAAAGCCCTCCCTCTTTACCATTTATTATTGGGTTTTACACAATCTGGCTACTGGTGAAGGTGTTAGAAATCAATGATCATATCATGCCCTGAGTTTGCTTACTTTCTTCTCGAGTTCATCCTTTCTGGCTCCAACGATCCTATCAACTTCTTTACCTCTTTTCATCAGCACAAAAGTTGGCATTCCCGTCACGTTGAATTCTTTAGCCACATCCTGAAAACATTCATTATGCAGTAAGTTTTTAACTGTTTCTCAATACAAATCCCATAAATGTGAAAACAGAAGCATGTAGCTGAACCCAAGTCAATCCATTTCAACCAATCCTGATCTTATAAAGAGATTTTCAGTTTCGCCATACCAAAAATTAACTTCTACTCACGAAATTTGATGTCACAAAATCAATTAGAGTGATGAGTGATCAGCTGATGTACTATACCGCTAAACTAGCTTCAACTCTTGAAATTGGATATCACAAACAATCAATTTCAAGGGGAAATAACAGCAATCTACGGATCAAGGAGATTGATGAGTGATATAAACTTGAGAGAGAAAGAAAGTTGAAACTTTGAGAGAACGCAATTGAAAGACGAAGAAAAGAAGATTAATTTAGGATACTTACAGGAAGTTCATCGACATCCAGTTTGACGAACTCAACATCAGTGAACTTCGCAGACATGGCAATAAACGCAGGCTCAATCATCCTACAAGGTCCACACCATGACGCCGAGAAGTCAACGACCAGCTGATCTCCCCAAATTCAAAATCCAATCCCAAATCAGTCAATTCCACAAGAAAACCGAATCTATTGCAAACATGAACTGGATCGGATCGAATCGAATCGAAAACACGTACCAGTTTCGAAGATTCCTTGATCTCGTTGAAATGAAGCTGCCACCGAGCAGAAGAGCTAAACTTCATGACGCGACTAGGCTCGGATTCGCTCCCTGCGACTGCTTCTTCTCCGCCACTTCCAAACACAGCTGATAAAGCACCTCCCATTATTCTCTCGCTTCGCTTTTTCTCTTCTCTTCTCTCTGACGACGAACGGAGAAAGATTAATTACGACGCTCTCTTCTCTCGTCAACCGTGTGACGTTTTATAAACTGGTTTGTATGTCAAACCGGATTTTAACCGTCAAGACTCAATTGGCTAATTTTATTTTTATTTTGCAAATTGTACAGAACCGGTCCACCAAAATACTAGAAAACCGAACCTTAACCGAAATTCTTCAGCCGTCTTCTCAGGTTTAGGGTTTTAGCTCCTCACATTTTCGATTTCCTGATTCAAATCCTTAGATCAATTTGATTAACCCCATCTCCTGAAGAAATCCACCAAATGCAAAGCCTGTTATTCCCTCGAGTATTTGTGTAAAGGTGTGTATTCTCCTTCTGCGATGTCTCAGTCACTGATTCGAGCAATCTCAGCTCGGAAGAATCAATTGGGTCTCGGGTTCTTCTATAGATGTACTTATTCTCGGAAATTTCATTCCCAATGGCAGATCATTTCTCCCAATTCATCTTCAGGTTAAAAAAAAAAAATCATCTTTTGCTTATATGATTCCAAATTTTGAAAATTCCGGTAGTTCCGTCGTCTTTACTTGTTTCTCTATCTCTCCTCTCAGGAAGTATTCTAACCGATTTTAGACGGTTTTCCGGTAATTTGATCCCGGAGTTGAATCACACTTACTTGGCTCGACCCACAAATGGATTCTGCTCGGTCTCTTTGAACGGAGTAGTGGAATCGAATCATGGCTCTGACGGAGAAATCATCGATATTGAGGATGGTTCTTGCGAGAGCTTTTTAAATGTTGAACCTTTGGATAAGAAGCCAAAAGTTGTTTACAAGAAACCGATCGACTTCACCAAAATCGATGCTAAGCTATTACCCACCGTGATGATCATTGGCCGGCCAAATGTTGGAAAGTCTGCCTTGTATAACCGGTAAGTTATAACATTTCATGAGTTTTGAGATGACTATATATGTAAACTGTCGATTCAGCTATTGTGTTGTTGTTGTTGTTCAGATTGATTCGGAGGAGGGAGGCTCTGGTTTACAACACTCCTGATGATCATGTCACACGGGATATAAGAGAAGGGATTGCGAAATTAGGTGACTTGAGGTTCAACGTGTTGGACTCTGCTGGTATTGAGACTGAGGTTTCTTCTGGTACTATTCTTGGTAGAACCACATCAATGACGGCTAATGTGCTTTCAAGGACTCAGTTTGCGATTCTTATCATCGATGTCAGGTGCGGTTTTCATCCTCCCATGCTGCAAGAAACTAAAGCTTGATGCTAGTTTTTTTTTATAAGAAATTGATTGTTGTGTTCGTGTTTATATAGGGCGGGTTTGCATCCATTGGATTTAGAAGTTGGTAAATGGCTGAGAAAGCATGCTCCACAGATTAAGCCCATAGTAGTAATGAACAAGTCGGAATCAATCGGTGAGACTCTTGCTGAAGTTTCTTCAGAGGCTCTTGCGCTTGGATTTGGTGAGCCTACTGCTATATCAGCTGAGACTGGACTTGGTATGACAGCACTTTATGAAGTTCTCCATCCTCTGCTAGAGGATTACATGGTCGAGTCCTTAAACGGTAATAACAAACCCGTATCAAGAAACTATTTACCAGATGCTCAATTCTTGGTTTTCTCTCTTTTACTGAACCTCTATGGTCTTATATTAGATAGATGCAGTCAAGATGATGTTCCAAGTGATGAGAATCTCTCTGATGAAGTCGAGGAGTCGAAGTTGCCGTTGCAGTTAGCTCTTGTGGGTAGGCCTAATGTTGGGAAATCAACTTTGCTCAATGCGTTGTTGGAAGAAGAGCGTGTGTTGGTTGGTCCAGAAGCTGGTCTCACTAGAGATGCTGTAAGAGTGCAGTTCGAGTTTCAGGGTAGGACCGTCTATATGGTATGTTTTTTGGAACTCTGGTTTTTCTACTTCTCTTACAACACAAATCTTTAAATCTTGTTGACTTCGTTTGATGTTTATGCGTATTTGTTAAGGTCGATACTGCTGGGTGGTTGGAGAGAACAGAGCGAGACAAAGGACCAGCGTCTTTGAGTATCATGCAATCAAGAAAGAGTCTGATGCGTGCACATGTTGTCGCTTTAGTTCTCGATGCTGAAGAGGTTTGTTATATACTCACACATAATTGCGTGTGATTCGTTATTTTTGTTGCTTACCGTATTATCATATGTTTTCTATTTGGGAATCTCCAGATCATAAAATCTCAACGAACTATGACACATTCAGAAGTAGTTATAGCTAGACGCGCCGTAGAAGAAGGACGAGGTCTAGTCGTAATCGTCAACAAAATGGATTGTCTAAGAGGGAAACAGAACTCAGAGATGTACAAGAAAATCAAAGAAGCTGTTCCCATTGAAGTTCAGACAGTTATTCCTCAGGTAATTTGATCTTTTGTTAGTTCTTGCTTCTTCTTTCGTCATTCTTGAGGGTTCTTGAGCGATGAGAAACATAATATTTCTGGTCGCAGATAACAGGAATCCCGGTTGTGTTCATCTCTGCATTAGAGGGAAGAGGACGTTTACAAGTAATGAACGAAGTCATTGGCACATACAAGAGATGGTGTTCAAGGCTTTCCACTGGTCGACTCAACCGCTGGTTAATCAAGGTTTGTACTATCAGTATTGAAATTTAAACTATATGATATTCAAACTAAAGATGTGATGTGACATCAGTCTACTTGCCTAATCATTTTCTCTGTGTGTTTGAGTTAGGTAATGAGCCGACATTCATGGAAAGACTCGGCTTCGCAGCTAAGGATCAAGTTTTTCACTCAGGTGAAAGCTCGGCCGCCGACTTTTGTAGCGTTTGTGGCCGGTAAAAAGCAGTTGCTGGAAAGCGAGATAAGGTTCTTGACAAAATCATTGAAAGATGACTTTGATTTAGGAGGGACTCCTATTCGAATCATACAGCGGTCTGTTCTTCGGAATTCCCCTGGTAAAACCGGCGGTGGTGGAAGCGGAAGCGGAAGCCGGTCTGGTGGTCGAGTGGTGCAAAGAAACACCTCGGACAAACGGACCGTTTCGGTTTAAGAAAGCCATTACAAGTGAAGAAACAGTTGTTACATTAACTAGTTTTGTTGTTTTCGGTGTTCTGTATCCTGTTTTGTACACAATCCTACTTATATATGTCTTATTCCTCTAAGCCTTGTTTCAACTCAAATCTGAGATTAATAAGATCAAATTCTTATCTCCTTATTATAGAAATTTGGATAGTTACACACGTAAAAAGTGTTGTTGCAAAATAGCCAAGACTATCATTGTCTGTTTGTGTATAAACTCACCATTGTCGTCACCACCATGGTTGTCCTCTTGGATTCAATTTGATTGGCAAATCAGTGTCATCCTGGTGAGAGAGAGATTTCAAGATTTGTTCTTGTTTCTTTGGTGTTTTAGTAAGAAAGAGCAAAATCAGAAATCAGCTAATAAAATATGGTGTGTTTTTAGTAAGAAAGGGCAAAATCAGAAATCAGCTAATAAAATATGATGTGTTCTAGTGAGAAAGGGAAAATTAGAAATCAACTAATAAAATATGGTAAATTAGAAAAAATTTCAATATCCCTGTTATTTTAAGCCAATAAACATAATTATTTTTAATTTTTTTAATGCTGGGCAAACAATTTTTTTTGAGACTTTATGCACCAAAATCTAGTTAGCCGAGAAAAGTTGGTATTTTTTGTTGTCTTTTCTTTTTGAGAAGAAAATAAATAAAACTTTATTATTGTGTGTAAAACTAATTAATAATTGATTAGCGCTCGACAGATTAATTTATTATGTGTGCATTAAAAAAAAAGGAAATTGAGTTGTAAAATAAAAAAGGAAATTGAGATAAATAAATAAATTTATAAATTAAAAAAGGAAATTTGGAACTAAATTAGCCCGTTAGATCTGGAGGCTTTATAACTCTGCCGCGTACTTGTATCCCTAATCAATTTATCAATTCTCAGATTTCACTTCTCTCAAGGTATCCCCAAGCGAGTTACCAATTCCACCACTTAGGGTTCGAAATTGTGAAACATCCCCCTTTTTCTTCTCTCTCGTTCTGAAAACCGTTCCCGAATCGAATATCTAGGTTTGATCTGTGAGTATGAATCACGAGGCAGCAAGGCAACAAGGTTTCGCAGTGCCGAGAAGACGCTACCTTCCTTATGAAAACAGGATGAACAGAGGTCCATCAAAGTGGTCAAGAAACCTGGTTTGGACGGCATCAGATGGCAACAGGCCAAGTAAGAATCGTGGGCCGGTTTCATGTATATGCAAGTTTTGGAAAGCCGGAAACTGCAAGAGGGGCGATCAATGCCGGTTTCTCCACTCTTGGTGTTCCTTCCCTGGAATGGCCATGGTTGCTTCTCTCGAAGGACACGAGGCGGATCTAAAGGGCATCGCCCTTCCCACGGGCTCAGATAAACTCTTCTCAGCCAGTGGCGACGGTTCGTTGCGCATATGGGACTGCCACACCGGCCAGTGCGTTCGTACACTCAACCTCCAGGCAGAGGCAGGGTCTCTAATCAGCGAAGGCTCATGGGTGTTCCTCGGCTTGCCCAATGCTGTGAAGGCCTTTAACGTTCAGACCAGTAGAGATTTGCATCTTGACGGGGTCGTGGTTGGTCAGGTCCATGCTATGACTGTTGGATATGGAATGCTCTTTGCTGGGACAACTTCTGGTAGCATCTCTGTCTGGAGAGTTACTGACACCGAGTCTGATCCATTTACATACCTCACATCCCTCGAGGGATATCACAGTGGCCCAGTCACGTGTTTTATTGTCGGAGAACATCGACTATACTCTGGCTCTGTGGATAAAACGATAAAGGTGTGGGATCCCAACACACTGGAGTGTATAATGACCCTGAGGCAGCACACGGACACTGTCACGTCTCTCTTATGCTGGGACCAGTATCTGTTTTCGTCTTCGTTGGATGGAACCATCAAAGTCTGGGCTTGTTCTGAGGATGGCAGCTTGGAAGTTACTTATACAAGCAGACAAGGAGAAAAAGTGCATGCTCTTGGTGGGTTGACCGACGCAGAGGCCAAACCGATGCTGTTCTGCTCTTACCAAGGCGGAGCGGTCAGCATCGTCGATATACCATCTTTTCAAGAAAGAGGAAAGATGTTCTCGACGCACACGATCGGCACACTCACATTTGCTCACGGCGGACTCTTCTTCAGTGGAGACAAGAGTGGGAAGCTGCGTGTCTGGAGCTTAGCTGCCACTAAAGAATCGAGCGAGAACTGAATGGATGCATCAGAAAATTGAATGGATACATCAGAGAAAAAATGTCGAGGATTAAGAGTCTTCGCAAAACCATCATTGAAGCCTAATTTTACTTTGTTTGGGTACATGTTTTTTGTTAGTTTTTTATTGGTTAGTACAATTTTGTAACAGGTTTTGGTCTATCACCATGAGAGTATATTTGACTATGTGTATACAAGATAATGATAATAGCTTAACTTCCTGACTCAAGCGTTGCTTCTTCTTCTCTTCTCTGTTTCTTCTTTGCCCTCAATTTACTGTTTTTACAGTCCTAATTTCTCTCATTGCAGAACTGAAGAAGTTGCAGGAGAATAATCAATCAGCATGGTAATTTGCACATGAGATTAATTGAGTTAGTTGATGTAGTTCTCACAAACTTGTTGTTATGAGTAGTTTCTGTATGCATTAGTTTCTTGGCTGCTTGTTTCTAGTTTAACTTGTTGTCATGAGTAGTTTCTGTACTGCACACTAAACATTATAAACTTATATTTTGAGGCTACTTGACAGGCCAGACAAAAGCTCCCGGAAGCACAAATCCTGGTGGGAATGCGAGAAGCCCTGGACTTGGTGCTCTTGGAGCGGATTCACCTCTTGGTGCCACTTCAGATGCTTCACAATTGAGCCAGATATTGTAAAATCCTTAGGGCCTCTGTTGTCTTTATGCATGTGAACTCTTGAATATGCAAAGTAACTTTTCTGTATCTCCCTAATGTCATGGATTGTGTCTTTGGTCTCTAGCAAATGATGACTCTACAGTAATCACTTCTCTCTCAGAATTGGAACACGACTAGCCAGTAAGTGTAGATGAAAATGAAAATACGAATCACTCATCTGATGAAGTGATGTATTCTCGCGTATTTGCAGATTGAGCGGTATATAACTTCTAGAGGAGGTGCTGTTGCAGCTGACGAACTTGCTCCATACCTTGATGTGCAATCTTCCAAAAGTGCTACGGTATATTATGCTTATTGTTTCTTGTAAGAGGAGCTAATGAAGCTAATTTTTAATTCTGTTAGCTGTCTTTGTGGTGGTCTCTTTTTTCTCTTTTACCTCTCGCACTAGTTGTTGTATCACTAAATAATGTAAAAGGCATACTTTTCAGCTTCTTAAGTTCTATTTTTTTATGAAAATCACAGAAGGATGAATCTTACATTCTACCTGTCCTTCTTCGGTTTGATGGTCAACCTGAGTTGGATGAAGAGGTATGCAAATCTTCTTTCCGGTTGCTTGAAATGCGATGCCCCAATGGTGCATGAGCTGCAGTGTTTCCTTTGGTTATTTTTATTAACAAGTATTGTATGTTGCTTGGGGAAACATTCTGCAACGCACAGCTTCTGGGTCTAGTAGACGAAAGGAATACGTGGGGAAATGGTTTGACTGGGTTGCAGATATGGAGAAGTTCTTCAAGGACAATTTAGGTTCTTATCACTGTTTTGCTCCTGGAATGTTGTATATCTTACAATTACAACTATGTAGTTCCTGATGATGGAATCTTCTTTCTTCATAGTAAAACTAGTTCAACCGAAAGGGCAATGGTCATTGGCATGGGTGTTGTCAATCTCTTTGGTGTTATTGTTCTAAACGCCATGCTAAAGTAAGCCCCTTCTATATCATACTCCACCTAAAATTCCCTTGTTTGTATATATATGGACCGCTAAAGCAACCTTGTTTTTGTCTTTGTTATCAGAGAGATGGCTGTCAGGCCAAGTGGATTTCTTACATTTGTTAAGAACATATATCCATTACTTCAGGTATGATTTATGTTTCTGTTCATATGGCAAACTCCTTTCACCAAAAACTGTTTCCTTCTTATGGTTTTTCCTATTTGATTTAAGCAACCTCTTAAACTATTTTGATTGGTGTCCTTCATTAACTTGTACAAACGACGATGCAGATATACGCAGGTTCATTCTTTGCCATCCCTTTGGTACGGTGGTTTTCAATCAAGAGAAAGAATGATCAGATAGAGAATAGAAACAAAGCTCGGCTACAATTTGCACGAGCACTTGAATCTCCTGATATTACACTACGGCGTAAGGTAGGCATGTCAGTAGTTATGTAAATTTAGGGAGATGTTCATATTGGTAACGGTTCTAAACATCAAAATTACGTAATAGGCTTATTACTTGGGAACTCTGAAATAATGCCTTCAAACTAATGCAATGCAGCTACTGAGTGCAAGGGATATGGCTCAAAATACAGTCATAGGGAAGGAGCGGATCGTGTATAGTACAGATAAAGATATGATTGAACAAGACTATGAGGCTGACGAATGGGAGAGACAATTCCGAGAGGTGGAAAAATCAGACTGAAATGTGAAATCTGGTGAGTGAATGACACAGTGTCACATTTTTCTTACTACAACTACTAAATGGTTCTATATGAATCACCCACATCTCTTAATATCAATCTCTTAAATACAGGGACTTGTGACATTGTGTTGTTACGCTAAGTTACGTAGCAGCTTACACATCATTTGCGACACAGAATTATCTCAACAACTTCCATGGACACAGAGGATGACAGAAGCCATGGTGCATAACTATTTAGACATTCGTCCTCTGTTTGAGACACCGAAATTCATGTCTCTTAAGTTCCAGAACTGATGGACCGTATCGTGCTGCTTCTGAGCTCTCTCTAACACAACCATAGCATGCAAACTTGGTCTTGTTTATATTTACTATCATTCAGGAGATCTAAGTATGCTTGGTCCTCAGAGTTTATACAAAAGGCAACAATAAATTATGTACAGTGATTTGTATATACAAAAAGTCCATTTTCTTGTTCGCGATACTCTCTAGATTCAATGTCTCAATCTTCCTGTTTGTAATAATATTAATGTCGGTTTATCAGTCATCACCTTCTACAGAAAATAATTTGCATAGCAAGGACGACATTGAGTTAAAACGAATTAATGGGGCCAATTTGGGATAGGTTTATAACTTGTGGGGGCAACATAGAAATAGATTAAGTGGATGTTAAAAGAAGCGTGGTTTTTAACACGACCAAATCTTTATTTCGCCTCCATCGTCTTAAAAATCCAACGTGGAAGCTTGAAGAGTTCCATGGATGACTTGGAAGAAAAGAAACTGCCTGATCCTTTGATCAGAGAGTTTACGTGTATTCTGCTCCAAGGGCTAGCCACGATCCACGGACACGGCTATGTCCACTGCGATCTCAAACCCGAGAACATCCTCGTTTTCCCGAGTTGTGTCTGCAGGAAAAAATTTCTGATTTAGCTGGTGGGAACCTCGCTGTCCGGTTGTGGGAACAGCAATCAGTCACGACGAGACAGGGAAAGGGCTTGACTTGTGGTCTTTGGGATGTGTTGTGTTGGAGATGTACACTGGGAAGAGACCGTGGTGGCATACAAAATACGACTTGAAGGATCTCAAGAACTGTAACTAGCCGTTGACACTGATTATAGAGAAGACGCGTTGACTCTGTTGAGGCTACATCAGCAAGATCGTAGAGCCTCGTGTGAATGTGAAGACTGATAAACATAGAAAACTTGCTCTGGAATTGGGAGAATTTTTCAGAGAGAAGATGTCGAGAATTAAGAGTCTTCCCTGTTGGATTTTGTACTGTTACGGTGAAGAAGAAAATGACGGCAACCTTAGGTTAATATCTTATCTTCTTAACATTATCCATCATCACACATTACATATTTATACTACTAATGTTTACTACTTCTTAACCTACTTTGTTACCAAAAACAACCGATGCCCACTTATTATTGGGCTTAACATCTTCATGGCCCAATGACCAATTATCTTTAGTTAACATAAAAAACATCACGTGCCTTCTTTTGTGTCTTCCTTCTTCTTCACATTTCGAATAGGTTCTTCCTTCTGTTATCTTCTTCTTCACGCCTTGAACAGGTTCTTCCTTCTGTTATCTTCTTCTTCATGCCCTGAACAGGTTCTTCCTTCTGTTATCTTTTTCTTCTGATTCTTTTCCTTTGTTTCTTTCTTGCACAGGATTAAGCATAGGATCAAATTCCAACACTCCCTCTTGATTCCTTTGCTTAATCCCCAAATTTTGATTTAGGGATTTGATCCCTCTTCCTCCTTCGTTTTCTCCGGTGATTCTCCGATCTTCTGGGTCTTCTCTGGTGATTCTCCTATTTTCTGGACGAGTCCCTTTTAAAACATCAGCAAAGTTCACTGGTATATTTGCTTTCTCCCTCATCACCTCATTCTTCATTGTTTTTCCAGTTTTCATTGATTTTGCTAATTCCTCGGATTTGATCTCCATCTGAAATTCTTTCTGCTTCACTTCACTCTTGGCTGATTTCTGAAGTTCTCTCTTATGCAGATGATTCTGTGCAAGGTCTCTGTTTCTTACCTTCCTCTTGGTGAGTTTCTTCTCATCCCACACAGGTAAATTTCCAGAATCCTTCTCTCTTGGATTCTGCCTTTGCAAAGCTCCAAAAACTGATTTCTCACTCTCCCTCTTGTTCTTCTCTATCGCTTGAGTCTTCCCCACTGATTCCTTAAGTGTTTTGTGAATCTGCTTCACTCCTACATTGGTTGCATCTCCAACCAGCTTCTGCTTTTCCATCTCTCTGCTGACTGCTCAGACAGTTTCTGCTCCCTCTTAGATAAGTCTCCTTCCTATTTAGTGTCTTCCTTGAACACCATCTTGTTTCTCTTATCTTCTGAACCCATACCTTTTGTCTCCCTCACCTTAGTTTCTTTGTTTTCGTCAGTTGGACCTTTTTGGTCCTCAACCTCAACCACAGACTTGATTTTCTCACTTCTTTGACTTCCATGATTGATCTTTTCCTCAATACTCTTAGCTTATCTATAATCAATAGTTGAGTCACTCTCCTTCTCCACTTCAGCTCCATCCTTATCTCTCAGGTACTGATCTTGTGTATAACCCTTCTCCTCAATCCATTCTTTTGGATTAGACCATTGTTGAACTATGAATTTCGGTTTCAGATCATCTAACATCAAGACTCGCTGCCTACATGGCTGGCCATTGCTTGATTCTCTCTCTTGGATGCATCTTGGTAAGTCTCTCTTGGCTACTTGACTCTTTGTTTTACTGTGATCTTGCTTCAGTTTCTCTTGAACATCAAGAACCACTGTGAGATCTTTTGCTCCTTCGGTCACACAACTTATGGACTGGTCTCCTCCCCCTTTTTGTGGATTTTCAGCTTCTGCATCTCCACATGCCCTTTTAACATTTTCAGGTACCCTTTCTTCTTTCTTCTGTGAATACTCTCCTTGTTGTCTTTCAACTATATCATCTCTTGCTCTTTGAAGCTTGACAGAGTAACACCCATTTGACATAGTAGCTTCTACTATCTTCTTTCCTTCTTGGCTCATGATTATGCAATTTAAACCTTTAAACTACATCTTGCAGCCATTATCCATCATATGGGGAACACTTAGATAGTTATGCTCCAAACTGGGAACTAGATGAACATCTTTTATGTTTCTTTTTCCTGTTCTAGTCATCACAGAAACTGTTCCTCTTCCTTTTGATTGCGCCGTTTCACCATTGCCAATTCTGACTCAAATCCTGCTTCTAGTGTCTAGCTGTGAAAACCAGCTTTCATCTCTAGCCATGTGCTTAGTAGCTCCACTATCAATCATCCAAACATCCTCATCACTGTCTAAATTTCCGTGAGTGGCTGTGAAAAGTCCTTCTTGTTGGATTTGTGCTTCAGAATCTTCTTCTAGTTGCCTTTGTGATTGTGCTTCAGCTTGCACTTGCATGTGTGGTTGATTTTGCTTGTGTCGACACTCCCTTGCATAGTGTCCTGGTTTACCACACACAAAACAGCTCCCTCGTGACTGATATTGCCCATTTTATTGTGTGTTTTCTGTTCTGTTTTTGAAATAGCACTCATCATCACTCTGATTGCTTCTCTTGCACACACTACACCACTTTTGCTGTCTCGTTCCTGATCTGTATGGTTCTTGCATGTTTGGGATTTCCTTTTGAAGATTTTTGAACCTCTGAAACCTTGCTGAAAATGCTCCTTCTGCATCTCTGCCGTTCCTGTCATCCAGCCCGTTTTCTTGTGTTTGTAACACATTTATCACCTCAGCAACAATCACAATTGCTAGATCTTTTGTTTGTTCAATGACTCCTACATACGAGTCAAACCGTTCTTGCAATGAACATAGAATCTTGGACACAATAATGCTTTCAGTTATATCTTCTCCATGAGTTCTCATTTCATTTTCTAACTCTAATACCCTTCTAGTAAAGTCTTTAATTGTTTCTTTTTCTTCTTGCTTCAGGTTGTAGAAATTTGCTCTCAGCCTTTGCAACAATATCATGGACGCTTTTGGATCTCCTTGGAACCTTAGCCTCAACACATCCCATGCATCCTTTGAGGTTTCAGTGACAGACAAGTGACTACTAAAGATCTCTTCAGAAACAGCACTGAACATTAACTGTAAGGCTGTTTGATCTTTCATTTCTAACTCTTCTCAAGCTGCCATCTTTTTCTTCTCCTCTGCTGTAGGTGTAGCTACTTTAGGTGGTTCTGGAATTCCTTCTGTCACTATTTTCCATAAGCCCTTAGACTTGAGTATAGCCTTCATTTTTATGACCCACAGACTATAGTTCTTCTCATCAAACACTGGAACTACTTGTAAGTTCTGCATCTTAACTCAACCAGACTTAACCTTAGCTTTTTATACCTGATTCTCTTGTTTCTGCTGTGCTCTGATGAACCAGCTCGTACCTTTTTCTTCCTTGTTTGCTAGAAAACTCTTCTTGTCTGCTTCTTGACTAACTTGTTCTTTCTTCAAACTTCCAGGTCACCAAAACCTAGGAGCTCTGATACCATGTTAGATTTTGTATTGTTACGGTGAAGAAGAAAATGACGGCAACCTTAGGTATTCTTAACATTACCCATCATCACACATTACATATTCATACTACTAATGTTTACTACTTCTTAACCTACTTTGTTACCAAAAACAACTGATGCCCACTTATTATTGGGCTTAACATCTACATGGCCCAATGACCAATTATCTTTAGTTAACATAAAAAACATTACGTGCCTTCTTCTGTGTCTTCCTTCTTCTTCACATTCCGAACAGGTTCTTCCTTCTGTTATCTTTTTCTTCACGCCCTGAACAGGCTCTTCCTTCTGTTATCTTCTTCTTCACGCCCTGAACAGGTTCTTCCTTCTGTTATCTTCTTCTTCTGATTCTCTTCCTTTGTTTCTTTCTTGCACAGGATTAAGCATAAGATCAAATTCCAACATTCCCGTAGCTGAAGTCATGCCTAGCAAGACCATCATCCAGGCCTAATTTTTGCTCTTGTTTCAGTACATGTTCTTTGTTAGTTCATAAGTTTTATTGATTAGTACAATTATGCACCAGGGCTTGGTCTGTCACTGATCGGATCGAACCATAAGAGTATATTTGACTTTGTGTATAAGATAACTAGGTGATAACGTGTGGGTCTATAAAATAAAAATCATCTATTTATGTATGATTAATTAATTTTTAATAATAATAATAATATAATATTAAAATTTAATAATAAAATAATAAACATAAATAAAAGAATTATAGATTTTAATAGAAATTAAAAATAAAAAATATTAAAAAAGAGTTTAGAACAATTT